CGCAGCAGCACTAAGGACTCCTTACATGGCCCCGAAGTCACCAAAGAAGAAGAAGATGAATTGAAGAACTGATACTCATCTTCTTGAACTCTATCTATTATATTTTGGTTTTTTTATACAATTTGGTTTAAGGACTTCATACTACTAGTTCTTTTTATGGCAAACTGTGAACGTTATCTTTGTTTCCAAACCGGGTTTAGTGTTTGTACTACTGGTACTTTTAGGTAAAATTATGAACGTATGGTTCGAAATGGATTAGATCAAAGACAAGACTAATTTGTACAATCCAATAAAAACAAGTACAATAGAAGAACCAAACAAGTTTAACAAAACAATCCAATCTAGTTTAACAAAATAATCCAAAATATACAAGTACAATAGAACCAAACAAGTACTCATTCAACATAGCAATCCAAAACAAACAAGTAGAATAAAAAGTTTCCAAATCCGTCTCCCTTTCATCTCTTTCAGCTCTTCAAATCCGTTTCCAAATTTGTCATATTTGCTTGAAGATTGAAAGCCATCTCCTTTCGGTCATTGATTTCTTTGTCACTTCTTACAACTTTGGTTACATCTCAATGAGTTTGTTGTTATGTTCCTTGTAAAGGTTGACCATCTCCTGAACCTTCTTTAACAGTGGTGAGCAATTCAAATAGGCGACCTTCTATTTCTCCCAATTTGGTTTTGGTCAAAGTAATCTCCTCCAAGATTGCGTCATCTAACAATTTGTAAATGTGGCAATCTCCATCCTATGCTCCAATTAATTAGATATGTAATTAATTAGATATGTAAATCTCCATCATATGCTCCAATTAATTAGCAAAATGATAAAAATGAGGAAATTTAGCAAAATGATATAAGTTCCTTACGCGAATATCACCAGCACAAGAGAAGAATTTGGTCCCACTCAATAACCCAATTGTTTGAGTCTTAAGCACAGCTGGTTTTCCCGATAACATATGGTCGGAATGCCAAGAGGTGAGGGCTCCCATGTCACCGGAGTCGGAGCAAATCGAGTCAGAGTTATATTTGCCATATAATCATATTCGGGGAGGATGAGTTCGTCATCCGAATCTGATGAGTTGCTGTCGTTGGACCCAGTATCGAACTCGCCGAATATGTCCTCATGTTTCCAACGACCCATGTT